CGGCTCGGCCCAGGCAAGGTACGGAACTACCGCCTTATTTAAAATGTTACCCGCCTTTCTAACGTGTCTAATCAAAGGTGCTGAATCTGATTTTTTTTGGGGGGGGGGGCTGGGGGTTGGGTTGGAGAAGACAGCCTTCTTAAAGCAAAATATTTATTTTAAGCTCTGACAGAATCTTTGAAATAAAGAGACTTTGTTTTAAAGTCTGTTGTTGTCCATTGTACATTTTACGTCCTGCATCCGTGCCCAACTGGTGACTTTGGCAAATCTAACTGCTGTGCATGTGTGTGCCTGCAGGTCCTCAGCTCAGGGTTCAGCTGCGCAGAAGAAAAAGGTCTCTTCTCCTCAAATGTCAGAGGAAGTCTTTTAAACCTTTCACAGGGATTTTTTCGGTTGGGTTTGTTTGTTTGTTTTTTCACTGGGTCTTGGCATAATTTGCTAATAACTCTTGAGGTGCTTTTCTCCAGCTGTTTTTCTTTTGAAACCAAGCCAATCAGATCATGAACCCAAATCCCAAAGAGTATTTCTGTATATAAGATATTAAAGATTATTAGTGACTTCCTACATTTCTGACACATAACTCTGAGAAGAACATTTCTTTCTGGTTCTTTTCCTTGGTACTTCAGCACTTACTGAGTATTTTTGTTCAAATGTAGATAGTATGAGTTAATCTTGTGTAATTTCAACAGTACGAGCCCTGACGTGGTGACAACTGTTAAAATTTACTTTGAAAGCCCAAATGTGACACTTTACAACATAAAACTGCTCTGTCTGTACATTAATTGACATCTTTGGATATGAGGTACTGGAAGTGGCTTTCTGGTAAATTCTGAATTATTTCAGAGCCCTCTGAAAAAAGCCAGCACAAGCCACTGGTGTGAGGCTGGTGCTAGGCCATGCACACGGTGAATCTGCAGACTACAAGGCTTGCTGTGCCTCCGTGCTTTTTAAAAATACCGCTATGACCGTTTTGTGTCTGTGTAGTGTGCATTAGCAACATGATGAGATGGTGCTGTATCTTTATTTTTCCCCCATTTTCAAGCATACTTACTATATATATATAGTATATATATTGCATGTAATATAGCATGTATAGTTATAGTGTATATGTATTACATACTTAAGCATACCTGTAAGAAATGTTTGTTTTCCTTGTACAGGTTTGCAGTCTGTGACAGCATCTGTTATTATGGCTGTGTACGTGGATCACCGAACACAAGCTCCCGATTCGGTTGCCTCCCCTTCTCATATAGCATGGCACCCGCTTCACCCGCTCCTGGCAGTTGGTTCCATCAGCACCACGCCCGGGGGCTGTGTTGATATCTACCTGGAACAGGTGAAAAATCAGCAGCTTCGCTGTTGGGCTTGATATTGTTTTGCTGGTTTGAAACTTAAGGTTTTTTGTCTATGTATTTGTAGCCTTGCTTAGGCTCCTTGTGTCCCTCTCTCTGGATTTTAATGACTATCCACGTCCCCTGCTCTCTAGGACGTGTCAGATTCATCATCTACTGGTACATGTATTTCATAAAAAGGTCTTAATAAATTAAATTTATCTTTGAATTTAAATTTAATTTTTATGGCCCTTAAGTCTTGTTTGTGATGGTTACAAATTTGCTTTGTACTTCTCATAGTATGAGAATTTCAGGCTTATAAGTAAAATGGGCACATGCAGCTGCTTTTTTTTTTAAACTCTAAGTGAATAAAGTGTACTAGGAAATGTAAATTAAAAAACCCCCACATTCCTCCACCTAGAGACTGAATTGATTTGCTAGACTCAGCTTGTTCCATCTGAGTAGGTTTTTTCCTAGTATGGTTTCTGCCTGTAGACATGTATTTCCTCTGCATACTCTAAACTTTACACAAGAGACTCGCGTAGGACTTTGGTTTGCAAAATTTTCAGGAAAAAAGTGTGCTATTTAGGGAAATGGTACTATGAGCTATCTAGCAACAGGTGTACTGGAAACATTTAAGTCTGTTAATATGAGTAGCCTATAAAATGTATACTCTTCAGTCTATTATGAAAAATTGTCATCCAGATTTTAAAAATGGAAAAATAAATATAGGTAAAGAGGTTAAATGATTTGCCTGAAATGTTTTTGTGAACAATGCACACAAGGTCTACCTTTAAGAGCTGTTTCAGCATTAGGCTGTTCAGTAACTTGCTTTAGTCTTTTTCAGAAGTTGAGGGGTTTTTAACCTTTTAACCTTTTACCATTGTGCTCGAAGCCTTCTTATTCTTCATACAGGAGTAAAAGCTTGGTATTCAGTGAGAGCTGCCCATGTACACTGTGAGGGAAGAAGAGCCTGGAAAAGCAGAGTGAGGCAGTCACTAACACTGCTGTGTTTTCCTTAGTGGTTTTGAAGTGGATGTACCAGATGCTGTAGCACACTTTTATGCACGTGAAATAGGTGCAAAGAGACTTTGTGTAGCCACTTCATATCTGTCTCTTGCAGGAAGCTCTATTACATGGCAGTCCTTTATCGCAGAAAACTCTCTTGTTGACTGGGAAGCAAATCTGAAGGTTTAGCTGCATCCTTGTGCTGAGCTTGCACTTTATTTCCATTTGCAGGGAGAACATGTGTCCGATGCACATGTTGAGAGAAGCTTTCAGGTCACATCGCTTTCCTGGCACCCTTCCAGACAGATTCTCGCAGCAGGGTGGGAGATGGGAGAAGTTGTGATACTTAACAAACAAGACAAGGAGCAGCACACTGTGCCACCAAATCATAACGCCAAAATTGCAGTCCTAAATTGGAGTACAAATGGTACCTGCCTTGTGTCTGGTGATGAGGTGAGTAGTTGAAATGCCAAATGTGGAACACAGTGCTGCAAGTCCTCTGGTGGGGAGGGATTATGAAATGGATTGCTGGGGGAAGGGATAGTTGCAGGGGAAAGAAATGTCATTGCATTGGGCACAGATAAAAACTGTTGGGGAGTAAAATCAAATCTCAGTGTTTTAACTTTTTCTACCGTACTCATTGCTGTTTTGTCAATTTATCTTTAAATAAGAGTGTATCTAATTTCAGTATGTGCTGAGCAGTAGCTTAGGTTTTAAGGGTATTCAGTGGATGGGATAATTGAGGCACAGACAGTTTGAATTATGTGCTCCTTTCTATGCATGAATTTTGTGGCAGACTCAGGAATAAAGCCCAGATGTCGAGAAACAAATTCCAGCTACAACATTGCATAGCAATGCTCACTTAAGTACCAAAACCCCATGCTGATCTATCTTGTTCTGTTTTTATTAATACTCTAAAAAAGGAGTGAAACTTACTGTACGGAAAATGTGGAAACACTTGAAATGTGACAGTCTATTTCTTGATGAGCTGGTTGCCCTTTTATATAGTAAAATGAGAAATTAGCTATTGAATATGTAGTATTCAGGATTAAGTATTCATAGAGATTCTGGTTTTGTCAGTTCTTGAGTCAGCAAATGGAAAAAAAAAAAGTGCATTCAGCAAATGGAAAAAAAAAAGTGCATTTTCCTATATTTTCCCTGATATAAACTTGAGCTTGTCCAAGAATTTCAGTTCTGCCCTTTGAGAATTCTTACCTATATGAGTCAGAAGAAAATACAATTTTAAATCATTGTTTGTAAAATTCTGTGGCTGCATTTGACAGAAATGCAGAAATTAAATTGAGTCAAAAAAGAATTTGTCCTTCTCTTTATTAGGAAAACAGAATATGCTGCCCAGTCAAAAGGTGACACACAGTAATTGAGGCCTCATTTATGTGGACATAATACGTTAATGTAGCCACAGCTTACATTAAGCCTACATTTCTGAACAAACTTTTTTCAAATTGATTTATTTGTTATCAGATCACAGTAATGAAGTCATCTTAAAATAGATACAGCCATTCTTATAAGCAAATGTAACAATTTCATAGGCTCATTGTAACTGCTTCTCTGATGAGTATTAATCACAGTATAATAAGCAGTGCCTTCAAGGAAATACCACAACATGCCAAAACACAGCCTATGCGTGTGCTGACATGAATGCTCTTCAGTTCCATGCAGCTTCAATTGCTGCAGTTGGAAAGACCTACCTCAATAGCTGGAATGGCAGCACAGCTGAACTTAGAAAAGTTAATTATTGCCAAATAGCCCTCTTACCCTCTGCAGACATGGAAACACAGCTGAGCACAGGTCAAGTGCTCCCTGGTGTCCCAATGGCCAATGGAATGTGGGTCCTTTAAACCCTCCAGCTCTGTGTGTGGTGGCCAGCTTGAGCTTCTCAGCCTTGCTCAGAGCCCAGGCGTGTGAGGCTGAGCACGCAGTGGGTCCAGCATCCTGTGGCTAGCTCTGAGGTGGTGTCCCTGCCCAGTACTGTGGTGGGGGGCTGCTCATTCCTGGTGCGGCACACTCAATGTCATTGTGCATGGTCTGATGTGCAGTGTAGGGATGCTTCATCTCCTATGTCTTTTCCAACAGCTTTTTAGTTTATTTTTAAAAATGTTTCCCATGAAGTTTTGAAACTTCCATTAGGTTAGTGCTGCCAGGATCATACTCTGCTCATATTGGAGGCATACCTTTAGAAAGAAGATAAATATTTGGGCCCTGATTTGGTTTCTGTTTGATCTTCACTGGGACTTCATATCTGAGAGTGCTCAGCTGAGAACATTCAGTCATCATAAATCCTGAGTTGCAAGAAAATGTTTTGAAAATAGCTTCTTAAAGTTGGGATAGGATGCTGTGAAAATCAGCAGCTCTTAACTTATGTTTTAAATAACAAATAACATGGATGACTTCTTTTCTGTGATCAAAAAGAATCCTAAGGACCTAGGTGCTCTCTATAATGAAAGCCTATTTATAAGGCAAATGGCCTTTATAACAAGAAGCTAAAGCTTTGGGTTGTTGAGAATGATTGGGAAGATGCAGGATGCCTTAAGGTAAATTTTACAGATGGTGAGGTCAACGTCCTTTGTCCTTTCCAAATACCATTTGAAAACAGACCAGTTCTACATCCTTTCTCTAACCAGTCACACTTAGAAGAGGTAGTGAGCTTTTTTGTTTCCAATTTCATGTGTTTCTAACTCAGTTTGCGACTAGGTTATCTGGGTACAGGATGGGATATCTAGAATGGGATGGAAGGAAAGTCAGCAGCTTTATAAAGCTGCAGGCTTTTCCTCTAGCTTATAAATGGTACAGGTTTTTAGTTGGGATCCCTTGAATTGGTGACATTTAAATCTGAGGGAAAAGTGAGAAGGGGAGCCAACAAGACATGAACTTTCAAATTATAGGATCCTGTGATTTCCAGAGGTAACCGGCGAATGTTGTATGAACCGCAAGTGGCCTCTTGGAACAGGAGTAGAGCATTTTCACAGATGCACAGCTGTGTCACATTGTTTAAGCTGTAAGAGATAGCATTGCACTTAATAAACAGTTTTGGGTGGTATAAATATTATCATCTTACTGCTGAAAAGAAGTTAGAACTTTGATTCTTGATTCTTTGGAAAAAAAGAAGGAAACATTACCTTGGAAGGCCTCAGCTGTATCTTGTGCAGCTTCTACTTAGGATTGTGAGGAACAAGCTTTTGGAGTGTACCACTGCTACTAGTCTTTCACTCTGGAAAAACTGTATTCTACTGAAAACAAAAAAGGAAAATAGAGGAAATTATAATACCACTTTATTGTTGTCTATCTTAATGAAATAAAATGAGTTGAACTTGCAAGTTGTTGCTGGTTTTTTCATGTAATGCTTACACAGAGGGCCTCCAAATGCAATTTGTTTCCCTCAGCACTAATGTAATAACACTGATAATAATCTTAAAATTCCAGCTGTGAGGCTGTAGCATAGGTCAGTTTGTTGGGATGTTTAACATGTATGTCATGCTGAACTGTCTTTTTGCTTCTCTGCCTTCTCCATTCTTTCCAGTCACCAGGGGCTTGGTGCTTATTCTGAGCTAGCACTACAAAATGTATGTGCCAGACTCTGAGGGCCAACTTACATTGACCACTGTTTAGTTAATTAGCTAACCAATCTTCCTTTCTTTAGTGTCTATGATTCTTTTAGTGACTAAATTCTGTTTCTAAACATGAGTTCTTGTTGTACTTGGATGTCTACTCTGAAAGAAGAAGAAAGCTCCAGAGATTCTGAAGTTCTTCCCTTGGATTATCTGTGTCCTGTGACTACACATGTGTCTCGTCATATACCCATGCTCATCTATGTCAGTGTTACATGCACTTACTCAGGGATGCATGTCTTATGCTTTGCTATACTTTATCTCGGTATCTCTTCTTTTAGCAATCAGACTACTTGCAAGAAAAAAGTGGGAAGGGAGCCACCTAGACAAATGTTTGCATATGCTACCTGGAGAGGGAAACAAAAGCCGTTCCATTTAATTGCTCTGGCAGTGTCATTTTACTAAGAGTGGGTATGACCAACAAGCTTTTTTAGATAGCTTGATTTAAAATAAGCAAATAATATAAAGTTAAAGATAATTTTTATTCCCCTGTCTTAGTTTTAAGTGGGAGTAATTGTACATGTCAACTAAATGAAAGGTGATGCTCTGTCAATCAAACGTTTATGTGCACTCAGTAGCTGGAGTCTGGATTCTCATCTGTGGGCAAAGTGTAATGAATTAACTGTTGTCTCTTTCTAGCATGGTGTCTTGGTCCTGTGGAGAATGGACCAGCGAGGCAGAGTGCAGGGTCCTGCCCTGCTGAAACAAGAGTATGGAAAATGTCTGTCTCACTGTGTCTTTCGGCCACCCCCTCCTGGCGAGTGAGTATCATGCCCTGTCTGGGCATTGGCAGACCAGGTCTTTCTGTTGTTCCACAGAAAGAAAGTCCTATTCACAGACAAACTGGTTTTTAAATACATATGGAAAAAGCTCTCCTAACTGTCCTTTATTTCCAAGTTCTCCCAGTCTAGTAGCTGGCTCTTTGCGTCCTATATGAAGCCACAGATCACCTTACTTCATCCATACCTTTGTCTCTGTTGCTGTTGGCTCATCTTCTTTACTTCTTCTAATTAGCAGTGTTGCTGACTGTGAAAATCAGTAAGCACACTGAAAACACAATTATCCATGAATTGTCAAGAATAATTAAATTAAAAGTCAGTTCTTAAACACTATTATTTCTTTCCTCTCCAAGCAAGAAATAGGAAACAGCTGTAGTAAAAAAAAGAGTTCTTGTCTGGACGACTACAGTTTCACATCTCTGTAAAAATAATGATGCTTATGGGAAAAATGATGAAACAATGCAAAAGAAAACTAGTATTAAAATTTTGCTTTGTATCTTTTTGTGTTTGTCCTTTTTCCAGTCAGTGTATGAAACATCTCTTGTTACAATATGTTGTGTTAACTACTCATCCATTCTTTGAGATGGAAAGTACTGTGTTACCTAAGGAACTGGAAATTAAGTATCTCTGTTTGCAGGGACTTTGTACAGCTGGCAAAAGCAGCTGTGAGTGGTGATGAGAAGGCCTTGGATATGTTTAACTGGAGAAAAGCTGGAACGGGAGCACCTCTGAAAATGGGCCTCCAGGAAGGACTCTCCTTCTTTATCACTTTGACAGATGGTAAGAGCAAAACCACTTTTCCAGTCTGCTGGAAATTGGTTTCCTTAATGCTTCAAAATAGCTCAGTGCATTAGTCTCGTTTTCGTATATCCAACATCTAGAGTATATCCATATATCCAACAAAATAGAGCATTCATAGGAGTTGAAGAATGTTTGGTAAGAAGAAACGAATAAAATTATTAAAATCTTAGCATCTTCAGGATGAGTCCTCTCCAAAAGGACACCATAGGTATTAGATTAGCCAGGTTGCCAAAGAAGGGAGTGTAAAGTGAGAGCTCTCTAACACCTAAGTGTAAATAAAATTAGAAGTTACCAGCATTTTGTGCAAAGCTTCAAAATAATGCATGTGTTGTGTTTTTTTTTCTAGAAATAGGCAAATGCTGCTATAACATACCTTTTAAAAATCAATTATTAATTTACTTTGACATTTTTCTCATGCTTTGAAATGATGCTTCAGTCTAAGGGAGCAAAAGAGTCTGAGTATTTGTTTTGTTGGTTTTCTTCCTAATACCACTTCTTTCCTGCTGTTTGTCTTTACCTCTCCCTTTTACTGTTCTGGGTACTAGTTTGCTCTTAGCTCAGTTTCTTCCTACCCCAGATGTTCTCGTGATGTCTTCTGTCTCTCTGACCTGCTAGCTCTGGACCGGAGCCAGAGTGTATGTGACAAGTATTGTGATGAGTATGTTTGTGGTCAGTGAGTCCAGCATGTAATCCTCTCGATTTTAAGTGTTAGCTACGCCGAAAAACGTTGAAGTGATGCTGGTTCTGCAGCTCAACATCGAATCAAACTGCAATTTACGTTATCAAGAATGAGACTCATCCTTTACCCTAGCGTGGCTTCCGTATGATTGCCAGAGTGGCGCTGGCCACCCTATGTTTGTTTTGAGAACAGGGGGCTGTACCTTCCTCGTGTTTGTGAGCTACAAGCGTCTTTACCAGAGGTGAACCTTTTGAATGGAAAAGGGGTACAGGGCACTCCTAGGTGCAAGGAGAGAGGCTTTGGCTGGGCCTGTCCAGCCTCACGTCGAAACGTGGCCCTGGTGCACAGCCCCATCTAGGGACAGGGGCTGCGTCCTGCAGGTGGGTCTCCTGCACCTCGTGGTTCTTGGGCCTCCTCTTCAGACCTTTCACGTTTCACTCACGTGACACTGACTGCTGCTTTTGAGCAGTCTCGTTGCCTAGGCTGATTTGGGCATATGTATTTGGAACCAATTCTTAATCTAGTCAGTGATCTGTCATAACTTCAGAATCAGTTAATGTTTTCATAGGGTTTAAATGTGACCTGTAGTTTTCTCTGCAGTATGGATACTTAGCCTAAACTTGTTTAATAAAAATAAATAGATCCCCAGTTCTTAAGGCATGCTTTTAAATATCTCAAAGGAGATTTGCCTAAAGACAATAGAGCATCTTTTGAAGCAAATCTAAATAAACAATTAAGCTCCTCAAAGTGCCCCCTCCCTGGCAGTGTTCAAGGCCAGGCTGGATGGGGCTTGGAGAAATTGGTCTAGTGGAAGGTGTCCCTGCCCATGGCGGGGGGGTTTGAACCAGATGATCTTTAAGATCGCTTCCAACCCAACCCATTCTGTGATTTAACAAGAGAGATGAGTAAGTTACCTGTTCAGTGTTTTATTTCAGGGAGAAAATGAAGCATGTGGGAGGAGGTGGGAGAAGAGTTTGGATTTTTCTTAATAGTTGGGATGTAGAGGATGATAATACATTTGCAAGAGTTTTGGAAATTAAACCATTCTTTTTAATTAGATACATCATATTGCCTCTTGGGTACAACATTTTAGCATGGATTCTTAATGTTAATTCTCATAGTGTTTTCTGCTTCAGATTTTGGGGGGAAAATACTTAATTTCTGAGGGTTCTTTGATTTGCAGTGGTTTGAAATGCCATGTTTACATAATATCATGCTTTGCTAAGAAATTAGGAATGCGTGTGTGGCATGAGAGCTGTCAGATTTCAATGACTTCATTTGTTTGGGTGATTTCTGTAATATCATCTGCAAACTGCTGTACTAATTCTAGGGTTTTTCACTGGGTAGCCTGTGCATGATTCATACAGTATTACAATTTAACAAAATTGTAATAGTTTTTAAAATGTTGATAGGTGCTGTAGTTGCCAGGTGACACACTATGTTGTCAGTGCTCTTAGACACTATGCTGTTTGCTTTTGAAATTGATGTAGAAAAGGTGTATTTAGTGTATGTGGTGAAGTTTTTCTAAACAATGAAGAACTTCATAGTTTTCTATAGTCTAGACGCTGCTGTAAATTGTAACGATTCTTAGCTGCTGTTCTTCTTTCAAAAATCAATATTAATAATGGAGATTTCAGAAGCCATCATTCATGCACACATACACAGAAAGTTTGCTTGTAGTTTAACAATATTTAAATGGTGACATTTAAATGATTCCCCTCTGGATTTCCTAGGTGGGGAAAAAGTGCATAAGTTTTGGTTTACTGCTCTGGTCAACTATCGTAGTCTGTATCCTGAGACAAACTAGAAGACCAAAAACTTGTGGTTATTTTTACCTTTTCAGAACTCAAGGAATATTTTATTAAGGTAGAAAGCAGCAACTTTGATTTTTGTAGCTAAAAACTGTTAACTAAAAACTATACCTTGTTTATATGTGCTACAGGTTCTGTGCATTGTGTGAATGAGAAAGGAAAGACAAGGCATGTATTATCCACAGACAGTCTGGTCCAAAAGCTTCTGTACATGGAGAAAAGAGATGTTTTAGTTGTAATAACAGACAACCTGCAGTTGTCCTTGCATGCAATTACTCTTGAGGGAGAGGCAGAAGAGCTCATGAAGGTAAGAAACAGACTACAGGGTAAAGTTGCAAAGTTTAATCTTTATAAGTATTTGTTAGCGTTTTTTGATTGTCACTTTTTTGTTTACAAATGAATCAGCTCTCATTTTTGTCGTCCAGACAATACTTTGAGCAAATATAGGTTCATTTAAAAGTGGAATAGAGTGGTGTGTTACTGAATTTGGAAAGATGGTTTTCATCTTGCCGCCTTGGTTTTTCTTAGTTTCTTTCATTTGGACGCTTTGTTAATCCTTCTACACTTATTTTTCCTTATCTTAGTGAATTAGAGAAGAATTGAAAATTCCGGTATAATGAAATATTTCTTACAATGTCTAATGGATAAATAGTTGATAATCTGTGTCCTCAGTTTTTTTGCCATCAGCTGCTCAGAGCTGTCTTGTCTTTCAGACTAGTAGGAGCAGTATCTCCTCCTCGTGGTATTGTCATCTGAAGGATGGTTTAGTTCTCACATTGTGAAAGTGTTCTTTACAACTGCAAAGGCTGGGAAGCGTTTAAAAAATAACAACCCACAAGTCAGAGAATCACAAATAATAGCATAGTGACCCAAAACCTACTGTATAGGGACAAAAACCAAACTGACCTCATCCAGGACTTGTAATCACCTTGGCTCAACTAAAATACCATACTGTTGGAGAGTACTGCTGGGGGGGATGCAACCCAAACCTTCACCTTCCTAAGATTTTTTTTTTTTCTTTTTATCTAAGATCGAAAAAGACTGGGCACTTATGTGTTACAGGAGTGTCCAGTTCTTATGAATCATTACTTATTGTTGACCAGAAGTGAGAGTTAGTATTTCTCGTTTTAAAGCAGTCTTTATCAAAGTTTTAAGAGAAGATCTAGTAGAAGAGAAAAAACTGCTCCTGACTTCATTAACCAACTACAAGGTTTCTTTTATTAAATTTATACATCATATAGTTGATGCATTTAGTGGTGATCACCGTCTGAGTGAAACTATTGGTCTATCTGAACTGACAGACAGGTCTAGTTATTCTTATATTTTAACTTTTTAGCCAAACTAGGCAATTCAGGTGCTTACTGTCTTTCAGTGTGTTCCTCCTACCTTCTGTAAATGTATTTACTTATGGTTAACAGGTGAAGTTGAGTGGGAAGATAGGCCATTCTGCAGACATCATTTTAATAGACCATAGCCTTGTTGTTACAGCGCTAGGTGAGACGGTCATCAGGTAAGCTCTTCTGGCTGCCCATGAGAAGTGCCATCTAAAAGGTTTGTGGTCTGCAATGCACTGAATATTTTACAGAACTTTTTTTTAATCAATAATGAACAAACTCCCAATATTTTCTAATTTTGTTTCTTAAAATAGAGAACTGAAATGACAAATGTGTTTCCTTGAGGACAAAAATAAATTCTGTATGTCTTTCTTTGCTTCTATATAGCTATATTTTCTTTTGTTAGGCAGTACTATCCAAACCTATTCCTTTCTGAGTGCTGTTACTGATTTCTTCTGAAGATATACCCATTTGGGTTTTTTGGATGAAAAAGCCACTTTGCTGTTCTTTCCATTGTTATTATCTGGTTCTTAGGACAGTCACAGCATCAGCAACAGGAACTAAAGTGCTTGCTTTTCAGGATGTTTCTCTTGCTGTAATATAAGACAAGTATTTTGGTTACTTCTATCCCTAATTCTTTAAACCAAGTATTGGTTTGCCATGCTGCTAAGTTACCATGTTCTGTAGTTTTTATTTTTTTGCATCTTTTTAAAAAAGGTATTAAATATTTTTTTTCCACCTGTCTTTACTATGACTTGCTCTACCTGTTTCCTCTAACTTTTTTGGGGAGTGAGGGTGTTCAATTAGCATCGGTATTCACTTTCTTGAGTCTCTATCTGCTACCATGAGACAAAATCATCTGTTAATTTGGTGAGAATGTGATAAAGACTAAGTATCGAGGAGTACATTTGACAATGTTTAGTTCTAGAAAATACATCTGGAATCCAAAGGACTACTGGTTAACCAAGGAATATTCTTAAAATAGGGGAGGAAGCATAAGTAGGGAGGAGGAAAATTGCAAGTAGACCTCATTTCTTTTTTTTTTTTCTTAAACCTGGGTTTGCTTCTGACTCTTTTCTTCATAAAGAGAATATCACAAAACACGCTGCAGATTTAAAAGTCAAAGGAAAAGGAAGGAGATTAAGAAATTCACATTCCAGAGGCAGCTGCTGGCAATTTAATTTTAAAAATTAAATGATCTGGGCATTATCTGGAAATAGCAAATTAATGCCATGTACAGCATCCTATTGACTGTGTTTAGCAAGACACCTGGAAGGAAAAGCATTGTTAACAATCTTGTTTTGTATGCCTTAGGTTCTGGGATTTGGACAGAGATGAGAACTATGTGCTGTCCCCAGATGTGCAATTTGGCTTTGAGGGAGGAGAATGTATTAACTGTGTGTCTTACTGCAGTGCTAAAGGTGAGAAATAATATGGCAGCTGTGATCTCTGGATCCTAAACATTGTCAAACCTCAGCCTTCAGTGCCCTGCAGTTATTTTAGTATATTTGTCAAGTTACTGAGGATTTCAGTAACAGCGTGGGATGTAAAAGCATTTTAGTTCAGATCAAGCGTGTGCTTTTGAAGGTGCAGTGAGGTAATTCAATACTCGCCACACTTTGTCTCAGTGTGGAGTTGTCTCTTGGCACACAGGCTGGATTCCCTTTGACGCTGAACTGGTACAAGTACTCCTGGAGTACACTTGATGGACTCCAACATGCTATGGGCATTTGGTCTACAAGCCCATGCTAGAGTAATGCAAAGTAGAACTCGCCCAACATGTATAGCATGGACATCAGGTCATTAAAACTGATATTTTCTACAGAGCTACTCCTATGTGTCACCCAGAGCTAGTGTCTGCTGGAATGGTTTTCAGTGGTGACTTCCCAAAACCAGCTATTCAAAAATAAATGATTAAAATGAAATCATTGTCTAGTACATTTAAAAGATAACTTCATCTGGCAGCTTAGAAAATGGGCCTTGCCATATGAGACTTTTCCCATTGTTTCTCCAGAAAGTTCCTCCAGTTCAGACTAGGATGCTGGTTTGCAGGAAGGCAAAGAAATGGATGCTGCCAGGTGAAGGTTTCTTAGTACCTTGGAACCAGAGTTAGGCTGCCTGCTACTTTGTGGTTTGTTTTTCTGAAGTTTAAGATACGAAATGCCTAAAAGGTTTGTGAATGGCAGGTCTCTTAGCAGCTGGTACTAACAAAGGGAGAATAGCTATGTGGAGGAAAGCAGCAGAATCTGATCAGAGCATACGGGCTTTGGAGGGCAAGGAGAAGTGGAAGCTCCAGGCACCTACAGAACTTGAAGGAAATGTCACTCAGATAAAGGTAAGACAGGAAAGAGTCTTCTTGCATGTTAGTAGGACTTCACAAATGTTAGATCATTTTTGTGAAACGGGTGAATATGGTCACTCTCATACAGATATGTGCACCAGTAGAGGCTGGTCCTCCTTCAGAAGAAGGAGGAAGATCCATCAGGATTAAGTAACTTTAAAAATTGAAGTGGGAAGAAATAATACCTGTTTGTAGCTGCTCTGTTACAGGCAGGGTTGAAATGCTCAGCAAGGTAACACACTGAAATGCAAATACATCTCTCTGTCTGAGAGAATTAGCAGTCATGATGTCCTTAAATCCAAACAACTCTCCATTATATGTCTCATTGACAAACCCTTTGGATTCAGCACCCTGAAATTATTTTCTGGAAAAGATAGATTGTCAGAAATGTCAAATTTACATAGATTTATTAAAATAGCAAGCAAGAAAATCTGGCTAAATGCATGATTTTATTTGTAGATAATTTTCTTCTTTTTAATTGCTTTTTCAATGTAAAGTTTACTCTTAGTGGTAGTAGCAAAAATAAAGAGATGTATTTACAACCAAATATTCTTTGAGAAGATGTGCCATCTAGAAGGGAATGCTATATTTTTACACACAAGTGGTGGTTTCAGCTGCTTTCTTTATCAGAAAGTGTTTCTTGTTTGTTAGATAATATTTTTGTGTGACAGTGTCAGACTAGATGTGGATAATGAGTTTTCTCTTGCAAATTTACAAAACCAATACTTTAAAACATTTCCTCTGCTATTTACAGTATTTTTAATGCCAAAGGTTCTAACAATACACAGCATTATAATATTTATTTTTTAACCCATTGTCTGTTAAGTGTCAGGGTGCAG